TGGGCTGAAGAGATGTGAGTTGATGAATTACAGCAGAGAAGAAGGATTACGTTATTCTATGTGAAAACAACATTGAAATGTTCCTTTTATCTTCTATCATATTATATATAAAATCCTGCAAATCACATTAAGCTAAAGAATTAGAAGACCATATGAATATTTTATATTCTATATGCAATTATATATGCGATATATTACTTCCAAATATGAATCCAATATCCTATTCAATTATATATCCGTTATAACATACCCAAATTTATACTTAATATTGTAGCAAAGTATTTGTTATTTTATTAACAGAGTATCATATTTTTATGTTTATATTTTGCTACTCTGTAAACTTCCCTCTTTGTTTATCTTTTGTTTATCATTCATATATTCTTGCATTGAATAAAATTGCTGTGTCATCCTGAAGTTTGTCTTTCTTAATTTCCTATGTTGCAATATTATATTCAGTATCCTGTGGTCAATATTTTCAATAATTTATGTAATATCCAATTGTATATCCAATATTATTAAACGTATATATTATATGTATGCATTATCCTATATTTTACACCCGATATTTTATTTTCAATAGCATATCAAATAATTTAATTTAATTAGAAAGGCATATATTGGATCAAATTATAATTTATTTTACAAATATTTCAGTTGGCTGACCGCCAACCTTTATCAAGGTATTATAACATATTTATATGTCGTTCTACAATCACAGGCCGCAGTGTATTATATTGTATTATAAGTTACTTTATGTATCATTTACGAACGGGAAAATACGTTCAGGGTAGCCTAGTGGACATGGCATCTGCCCGGTAAGCGGAACATTGTGGGTTCGATTCCCATCCCTGGACACTTTTATTTTTCCGTTCATCATTACTCTTCATAATTCATCCTTTCATGCCTCATACAAAAAGGTTAGAAATGGTCGATATTTCCCCTTGAAATAAATTTTAATTTTACGTTGAAAAGAAACTCATGCGGTGTAACTTCTAGTGTCGTTCTACAATCACAGGCCGCAGTGTATTATATTGTATTATAAGTTAATTTATGTATCATTTACGAACGGAAAAATACGTTCAGGGTAGCCTAGTGGACATGGCATCTGCCCGGTAAGCGGAACATTGTGGGTTCGATTCCCATCCCTGGACACTTTTATTTTTCCGTTCATCATTACTCTTCATAATTCATCCTTTCATGCCTCATCCAAAAAAGTTAGAAATGTTTCGATATTTCACCTTGAAATAAAATTTTAATTTTACGTTGAAAAGAAACTCATGCGGTGTAAATTCTAGTGTCGGTCTACAATCACAGGCCGCAGTGTATTATATTATATTTATATGTGTACTTGATGTATGTACGGTGTGGCCATTGGACATCGCGTCGGACCTGGAGGCTGTTGTTGGGTTCTGTGCTGCCTGGAGTATAGGAGCTCCATCTATGCTTCCTTTCTTCCTGTGGTGAATCCGTATAAGACCGGTGGTCTTAATAAAGCTGTATGTGTGTTGTATTTATAATTTATACAATGGTATAAAAATATTTCGTCATAGGAGATTAATAGAATGAATGAGAAAAGCGAAGACTAAAATGCGGCTGATTCCACACTCGCTTTTTCAGTGATACGCTAACCTATGTACGGTGGATTCTGTGGCTACTGGACATGTGTCGGACCTGGAGATTGTTGTTGGGTTCTGTGCTGCCTGGAGTATAGGAGCTCTATCTATGCTTCCTTCCTTCCTGTGGTGAATATATATAAGACCGGTGGTCTTAATAAAGCTGTATGCGTGTGTATGTAATATTACAATATAACAATGGCTTCAGCAAAAAAATATATATATATTAATGTGTGTAAATAACAAACTCAGCGCCACATAACGTCAATAGAATTAAGTTAAAAAATGTTTTCCCTATATTCACGACGATATCAAATTATATATTTAAAATATTATACCAACATTTATAATACAATATAACGCTGCTGATGATTGTAAAACGAAAATTGATATTATACCGCGAATGTTTCTTTTAAACAAAAATCGAAATTTATTTTAAAGAGAAATAGCGATTATTTCTAACTTCAAGGATGAAGTATGATAGGATGAATTGTGAAGAGTAATGACAAATCCCATCCCTGGACACTTTTATTTTTCTGTTTGTCATTACTCTTCACACTTCATCCTATCATACTTCATCCTTAAAGTTAGAAATAATCGCTATTTCTCTTTAAAATAAATTTCGATTTTGGTTTAAAAGAAACCTTCGCGGTATAATATCAATTTTTGTTTTACCAACATTTATATTCAATAATAGCCTATGCGTATATCCAATAGCATACCTAGTTTAATTTCTAATTTCCCATCTAATATTTAGATCAGTAGAAATGTCTATTATGTTATTTGAAGTATTATAGTGTACGTCTAAATATAAAAGCTACATTTCAACATAAACTCATACATTATATAGGAATGCTATAATATTCATTCAATCGTAAAATAGGAAATAAACGTTGCTACTTTTTGTATTACAAAAATGATTGAGAATGCTATTCATGCACAAAAAATATATTTCAGGATAAAGGTCTTAATCGAAACGATTTTATATAAATTCAAGAGTATCACACAAAAATCATCTAAATCATTGCAAACATTTTGTTTGGTCGTTTCAGGCAATATTACATAGCAGCAAATATTCTGGTATTCATCAAATGGTATGTTCATGCTTTACTTAGCGGAGGTTTGGTCTTGTTGCATTGAAGTTAAGGACAGAGTCATTGATATCTTTATTTGACTCTGGGAAGACTCTTAGTTTTGAAGCTAGGATTCAATTGATTTCCATCGCGAAGACGATCGGCAATCTCTAACAGTTTAAATTTTAGTTTGGCCGAGAGGTTGTTCAAGTAGTGCATAGTCGTCAAGATTCAAGTCTCAATGGTTTAGAGAAGGTTAGGTATAGGCGAGTTGTATCGAGGTAAAAGAGACTTTAGGAATTAAATTGGGATGGTGGAGATTCTGAGCAAAGAGAAGAAAATGACTTGATTACAAGAAGCTGGCCAAGTATAGGTGTTGGTGAAATGTGGGTAGAGTCAGTGTCGATGGAAGCCATGTAGATCTTCTTGGAGTGTCTGTAGAGTTGGTGTCGATGAAAGTATTTTCATGTCAGTGAAGCGAAGGTAGATTTGAAAGTGAAGTGATGTAGATGATGGTGAGATGTATGTAGAGTTGATGCCGATGTAGAAGTGTAGATGATTGAAGTAGATATCGTCCAAATATGCTGAATGAAATTCTCGGTGAAATTCTCCATCAGTTCCCGTCATTTATGAACTTGTACAAATGAAATTACCAAATTCTGCACCATCTTCATAAATTTTCCACTGTCCCAGAGTTAACGGTCCTGTCCTTTGTACGACATTGGCCGTAGAGATGTAGATATGGAGCCACAATGTGGTGGAAGAAGCCAGTCAAATTTGATCATGTTGGCATTCCGGTCTGGTGGCCTTGTGTTTAGCTTCAATGTGGCCATGGAATAGCGGTGCTTTCCCTAATATAGGGCCGGGCTTGTTTGTATAGGAACTCCCAGCTAGTTCCTCGCCTGGCGGGAGATCAGCTTTTATTTTGGTTGATAAAGCCTGTTGAAACTCGAGCATAATAACATCCCGGCTTAGTGGCAGCTGTGCTTAGCTTCAACGTAGCCATGGAATAGCGGTGCTGTCCCTAATGTGGGGCCGGGTTTGTCTGTACAGGAGCCCCCAACTTTTCCTCACCCGGCGGGATGTCAGCAGCTACTCTGATCGATGAGACTGGAAAACTTGATCATGAAGACGTCCCAGGCTTGTGGCAGCTGTGCTTAGCTCAATGTGGCCATAGGGCAGGACCACTGTCCCTGATATAGTACCAGGCCTGTTTTGTGCAGGAACCCCCCAACTTGTTCCTCGCCCGGCGGGAATTCAGCGGATACTGCGATAGTTCATTGTTGGGTTACCAGGACATCATAAGCTTCCCAATATACCCATTTATAGAGAGGTATTCAAATGTATGTAAAAATGAATTTAATAAGAATAAACACAGAAGACACCCAAAATAGAGAGAGAAAATGTCACCCTATATATTATGATATATATCATATTGCAATATAATACACTGCGGCCTGTGATTGTAAAACGACACTTGAAGCTACACCGCATGAGTTTCGTTTCAACGATAAATTAAAATTTTAATGAAAGGTGAAATATTGACTATTTCTATCCTTTTTGGATGAGGTATGAAAGGGTGAATTATGAAGAGTAATGACGAACGGAAAATAAAAGTGTCAAGCGATGGGAATCGAACCCACAATGTTCCGCTTACCGGGCAGATGCCATGTCCACTAGGCAACCCTGGACGTATATTTTCGTTCGTAATTGATACATAAAGTGACTTATAATGCAATATAATACACTGCGGCCTGTGATTGTAAAACGACACTTGAAGCTACACCGCATGAGTTTCTTTTCAACGATAAATTAAAATTTTAATGAAAGGTGAAATATCGACTATTTCTATCCTTTTTGGATGAGGTATGAAAGGGTGAATTGTGAAGAGTAATGACGAACGGAAAAATAAAAGTGTCCAGGGATGGGTATCGAACCCACAATGTTCCGCTTACCGGGCAGATGCCATGTCCACTAGGCAACCCTGGACGTATTTCTCGGTTCGTAAATGATACATAAAGTAACTTATAATGCAATATAATACACTGCGGCCTGTGATTGTAAAACGACACTTGAAGCTACACCGCATGACTTTTATTTTTCCGTCCGTCATTACTCTTCATAATTCACCCTTTCATACCTCATCCAAAAAGGATAGAAATAGTCGATATTTCACCTTGCATTAAAATTTAATTTATCGTTGAAAAGAAACTCATGCGGTGTAGCTTCAAGTGTCGTTTTACAATCACAGGCCGCAGTGTATTATATTGCATTATAAGTTACTTTATGTATCATTTACGAACGAAGAAATACATCCAGGGTAGCCTAGCGAACATGGCATCTGCCCAGTAAGTGGAACATTGTGGGTTCAATTCCCATCCATGGACACTTTTATTTTTCCGTTCGTCATTACTCTTCACAATTCACCCTTTCATACCTCATCCAAAAAGGATAGAAATAGTCGATATTTCACCTTGCATTAAAATTTTAATTTATCGTTGAAAAGATACTCATGCGGTGTAGCTTCAAGTGTCGTTATACATATATATCATAAATAATGAAAAAAGGTTAGGTGTTTGTTTTTCAAATCAAAAAAGATATAGAAGACATATCCTGACTAGGTTCACATGAACCTTTTAGATGACAGGGCGCCATGGAACAGAAATCAATTGAACGTTGATTTATCCAGTTCCCTGATTTTAGCCAATCAAATTTCTCAATAAATCAAAAAGCCATCCACGAATGCGTTTCGCGCTGTTGGCGCTCGTCAAGGTGGAGCAGACTGTACCACTGCGACCAAAATTATTTTTGGTGGTAGAGGCTATTTGAGAAACCAATATGTTCAGGATATGCCTTCTTGAGAAACCAATATGGTCAGGATATGCCTTCTTAGAAACCAATATGGTCAGGATATGCCTTCTTGAGAAACCAAGACGGTAAGGATATGCCTTCTTGAGAAACCAATATGGTCAGGATATGCCTACTTGAGAAACCAATATGGACAGGATATGCTTTCTATAGAAACAAATATGGACAGGATATGCCTTTTTAGAGGAACCAATATGGTCAGGATATAAAATGAGATTAATTGCAAAAATTGTATATTTAATGATTGTTTTATACATGGTGATTTGCATAACAAGGCCAATAGAGCTTACGGTAAAATTTGCCGATTTTAAGACTAAACTCAATAAGATGAAATATTACAGGGATAGAGATGGTGTAACTTTGAAGCACTGTTCGTTGGCTTACTGGCTAAAAGTGATCACGGCCTTATTGATAATTGGATGTATAGAACTAAATCCAGGGCCGAAAAGACAGGCCACATTGACAAATATACATCACTCAACTCCAGACCAGGCCACATTGACAAATATACCTCACTCAACTCCAGACCAGGCACCAATGGACGATTTAAAGTTACTGATAATTAACCTTTAGGCTGAAGTGAACAGATTGGGAGAGAAAATGGATGCAAGGTTGCTTAATATTGAGCAGAAGATGGAGGTTTGGGAGCGAAGAATGACGGGAATTGAAACATCTATGGCCTCGTGCACAGATGCACTGGCGACTAACACGAGGTTAATTTCTCACAATACCCTAAAAATAAGGAATCTGGAAGAACGCGCGGAGGCTTTGGAAAGACGAGCCCGAGAAAACAACTTAATAATATATGGCATTGAATCAGCAGAGACTGACAGTCGGGAACTGCTGCTACAAAAGGTCAAGAAGTTAATGGCGGAAGATATGCAGATTACCGATGATGTGGTAATTGCCGAATGTCATCGCCTGGGCAGGGGACCAAAGGCGCCTATTCTGATCGAAGTTCCAGATCACGAGTCCAGAATAAGTCTCCTAAAGAACTCATTCAAACTTCGAATGCTCAATATTTTTATGAGCAGGGATTACAGCCCCCAGATTAGAGAGCAGAGAAAAATCTTGATAGAAAAGAGAAAGGAACTTTACAAGAAAGGTATAGGATCGAAGCTGAGGGATAATAAACTTCTCCTAAACGGCATCAACTACATGGTAGTGGAGGGACAGGTGATGAATGCCAAAGGAGAACTAATATAGCTAGAGGCACACCAGCGGATCTCTGTAAATAGATGTAAATACTCAGGTAATAAAATACATACAAATGAAGATGTACAATCTAGAAACAAATCTCAACTCACAGAAACTCCTCAAATTTCACATAGCAAGACTCATACTATTAAAGAAAGTCAACTTAAGGGCACAAATCTGAAACATAATAAAATTAAGATCAAAAAAATAAAACCAATGGTTGACATAGCTAAAAACGAACGATTCATGTATTGGAATATAAACGGCTTTTTTAGGATAAATTCTCTCTTTCCACTGTTCGAATATTTGAAACAATTTGAGATGTTCGCGCTTACAGAAACTTGGTGCCACTTCAATATCGACTTGAACCTGGCGAACTTCGGAATGTACCAATCACCTGCTGTAAAGTCATCAGATAAAGGGAGAGGCTCCGGAGGTATAATTCTCGGCATAAATAAACAACTACAGCCCCAAATTGACAATGTTGAAATCGAAACCTCTTGGATTGCAGTCACACTCAATCCAAGTTTAGACAATGACTCACCAGCGATCTGCGTAATATTCGTATATCTACCCCCAAATGATACGCATGCTACAAAACTTGGACGACTATTTCATTTGATGGAAAATAAGATATATAACGGGTTTGAAATAATACTGGTCGGCGACCTGAATGTCCGTATTGGCAATCTGGGGGTTACCATAATTTGATAGATACTTCAAACCTTTTTTCAACCACCCGAAAGTCCTGTGACCTAACAAAATCTGCCAAAGCGGAAATATTTATTGACTTTCTTGATAAAAATCACTTAACTATAATAAATGGTAGATCCATTAATGATAAAAGTGGTAAATTTACATTCATCTCCGGAAGAGGCTCTTCTGTGTTAGATCTGGCGATTGTCTCACCTGCGGTGCTTGAACACATAGCAGATTTTGAAATTGGTTGTATGCCATATTCGGATCACTTACCAATAATTTTAAAGTTTATCGGCCCTAATAATAAAACTGAAAATTGTTACATGGAGCCTAAGGCCAAAATTAAATTTTCCTGGTCAGTAGATAAAATCCCAACATATATAGAAACTTTAAAAGAATTAACTCCCGAACATCCAGCGGACTCCACAATTGATACTCAGGCTGAGGATTTTACTGGTTTAATTCAAACAGCAATGTTACGCTCGGGGACGCGGATGGAGGCAAAAACAAAAAATATAAAATCTAAGCCATGGTTCGACAAAGACTGTTATTTGGCTAAAAAGGAAATGAAACAAAATCTAAAATTATACGTAAAACATAATATCTCGGCCGATAAAATTGCATACTTGTCGAGTAAGAAGAAATATTCAGCTATCCTAAAGCTCAAAAAAAGGGAATATACTGACAAAATTCAAGTTATCCTCAGTAATGTAAAAGATCCTTCCCAATTTTGGAAGACTATTAATTCACTTAAATATAGGAATAACCTACAAGGTGAAATTTCTACTGCAGACTGGCAAGTCTTCTACCGGGAGTTACTTGGTTCAAATTTAACAAAAGTTGTACAGTTACCACTTGAGATATTGGACATTGACCCCGAATTAGATTGTGAAATATCTCTAACTGAGGTCACCAAGGAAATTTCCAAATTGGGTAAAAATAAGGCTACAGGACTTGATGAAATTCCTAACGAAGCGATTAAATATTTGTTAGAAGAACATACAATTTATCTCAGGAACTTATTTAATAAAATCTTAGGGACATCCCAAGTTCCTCAACAATGGACAAAAACGATAATCCACCCAATATTTAAAAATGGAGATCCGGACAACCCGTCAAATTACAGAGGAATATCCCTGATTTCTAACCTATCGAAATTATTTACATCTATCTTGAAGACAAGATTGAATGATTGGATGGAGAGAAAGTCAATTTTGGCAGAAAATCAGGCTGGTTTTAGAAAAGGCTACTCTTGTCAGGACCACATTTTCACGCTCGTATCATTAATTCAAATGACCCTTAGCCGTAGAAGGGGAAAGTTATATGCCTTCTTCATTGACCTAAGGAAGGCCTTTGATACCGTGCCGCACCATCTACTTTGGAAAAAATTAGCATTAAATGGTCTGAGCTGTCGATTTATTAAACTAATTAAGAACTATTATACCCAAATGACGGCAACAGTCAGATGGCGGGGTTCCTTCACGGAGGCTATCAAAATACAAGCGGGAGTATTGCAGGGGGAGCCGTTGACACCTTATTTATTCATTCTCTTCCTAAACGATCTGGTACCCCTGTTCGATGAATCAGAATTGCCAGGCATAAATCTTGAGAATTATGGAACTATACACCTTTTACTGTATGCAGACGACATAGTGATCTTAGGAGAATCGAAAATAAATTTGCAATTGAAGATTAACTTACTTAAAAAGTACTTAGAAGAGAACTGCCTAACGTTAAACCAAAATAAATCTAAAATAATGGTGTTTAGAAACGGTGGAAGAACAGCTCGTTCCGAGACATGGTTTTGGGGTCAGCAACCCCTGACAATAGTAGCTTAGTATTGCACAACGAATCACAAGTTTTACGAAGGAGCTTCTTTATTTATACTTGAGCTAGCTTTCGAACCTTTCGGTTCTTCGATAGGCGTGGCTAGTATGACTATACTAACAGGGTATAAGCGCGCTTGAGCCATTATATACAACATATATTTACATGCGAAGTGATATTTCAAATATAATTAAAATAAAAATAAGAATTATGACTATGAAATATAAAACTATGCAAATGAATTTAAAAATTTTAAATTTTGATAAAATTTTGGAAAATATACGCTAAAAGTTAAGTAAAATTATGATATTCACTGTATGCAAGTAGTGTGACACTTTAAAATTTTTTTTTTTTTTTAAAGTTTAAAACTAGTAAAATTTAAAACACCTCAACACAGAAAAGCCAAGCGGGGGTCCACTCCAACCCGACCACTCTCCAGAGCATATTAGGGATAACTATTGAGATAATATATGATATATTTCCGGTAGATCTATTTTCCTATTGATGCTGTTTGTTTGTGATGATATGATAGACTCTAGTACCAATCTGTGCTGCTTATTGTTTATTGCTTATTGCTTATTGCTTAGGATCCTAAAGTACTATACCAACACATAAACAATAAGCAGCACAGATTGGTACTAGAGTCTATCATATCATCACAAACAAACAGCATCAATAGGAAAATAGATCTACCGGAAATATATCATATATTATCTCAATAGTTATCCCTAATATGCTCTGGAGAGTGGTCGGGTTGGAGTGGACCCCCGCTTGGCTTTTCTGTGTTGAGGTGTTT